ATTTATTTATATGCAGTGCTGAGAATCAAACACAGTGCCTCACACATGCCAGGCAAGTGCACTATCACTGAGCCACAGCTCCTGCCCAACAACTTTATTATTTAATGAACTGTTAATAGTGATCATCATTACCATTACAGGTAATCATTTTTTCCTATTTCCACTAATTTCAACTGTGAGTATTTATTACATATTCATGGAAATAGAGATATTTTCTAAGTTTTAAATAACAAAAATCCACCCATTCAAAAAATAAAATAAAAATCCTTCCATTCTGTCTTTCTTCCAACTTTCTTTTCCAGCTTAAATTAACTAAAGAGGGAAAAGTTATTTTCAGGGAGGCAAAGTATTGACAGAAATGTCCTAGCCATTCCTGGGTGCCCAGACATCAAGATGCTCTTCCTATATCCCTCCCAAACCTATCTATTTCTCCTTTAATTTTTTTCTCTGCCTCTCCCTAACAAAACATGCAAGATATATTTTTCCAAACAACACCGTTTTCATCATACCTTCCAATGTTGTCCGTAAATTAGGATATGTTTCTTGGCAAGGTCCATTCTGTCCCAGGTCATTGCTAGATTTAATTGTTCTAATGTTGATAAATTTGTGCCTGTGGTAAAAGAAAGGAACAATCATATATTCTATTCAAAATATCCAGGCAACAAGCACAAGGTGCCCTGGAATGTGAGAACAGGAAGTGAGGAACAATTACAAATCTCTTCAGTCACTCACCCTTGAACAAAGCTGTTAGGATTGCTAAGTCAAGATCTTGCTGTTCTTCAGAGTCAGCATCAAATACGGTTATCTATAACAATTGAAAAATAAAAAAGCCTTATATTCAGAAACTACCAAAGACATGCTCTCAACCAATATTCATATAATTCACATTTAAGCTAATGAATTGAAGAAATCATTCCTCATTTTGTAATTTCAAAATGTAATTTAATTTTTTTTACTTATAGAATAAATCTTTTTAAATAGGGTAACAAAAAAAAATCATAGGCGCTTGGAATAAGAAGAAACTTTATAAACTCCATGTGTATTAGAAGAAACATTTCTGAAAAAACAATATTATATTAATTTGCCATGTGCATGCTCAAAAAAAAAAAGAAGAGATCCTCCACTCACTTAAACTTAGAAACCAAGACCTTTGTTTTTTAATGAGAAATGAATCCTCAGACATTTGTCCTAAAACAAGCAAGGCAATATTACAATGGACTTAGTGACCAAGTACAATGAACAGTAGCACAGACATTGTTCACAATGTCAAAGTTCCCAGAGTGTTCTGGGTTGTGAATGTCTAAAAAAAAAAAAAAGACAAAAACTAATGAATATATTTTAGCCTTTCCAGATGAAACTATGTTCCATATAGCAGAGGAAACTGGATTAACAGAAAAGAGCCAGGACTGACAAGCTTTGCTGTGCCAGGCCCTTCTGCCATGTTCTGCCTCACCACAGGCCCAGGATGAATGGGGTCAGCTAACCATGGACTGAAATCTCTAAAGCCATGAGCCAAAATAAATCCCTTCTTCTTTAAGTTGATTTCATGAGGCATTTTGTCACAGGGATGAAGAGCTAAAACGGTTCCTATGAGATATAAATATCATGTTCCTACAGCTTCACACATTCATTCCCTTCACAATGCACATGAATAAAATCAACCTTCAAGGGCACAGGAGCTGAAAACCCAGTTGCTATAATGTGCAAACTCTTTAGCTGCCTTCCCTACTCTCCCAGTCATTACACTGTTCATTTCACTCGTTGATGACAGGAAGGGGCAAGCACAATGGCATCCTCTTTAACCTGTCCTTTTCTTAATTTACTGATTATTGTGGAAATAAAAAGTGTAGTAGACTAAGAACAAGATTTCACCTTGGACCTCAAGTTTCAGTTCTAACATTTTTTAACTGCAAGGCTGTGCAAATCACTTAGATTCTTTGGCTTTCAGCTTCATTTTTGAAATTAGAGTACCGCTGTTACACTGAACTCACTCATGGGGCTATTTCAGGAGAAAAATATATTCAAAAGCACAATGCTAATTATAAACCCGATTGTTATTAGGTCACTGTTACATGTTTTACCACAATTTCTGTAGCCTAGTTCTGTTCAACAGGTTTTTTGAGGGTAGGTACTATAATATCACCAAAATTCTTCCAATTCTGGAAAGTTCACTTTGAATCATGACATATCTGCATATGTGCTATAATTTTCAGCTTTATTTATTATATTTATTTTGGAGGGAGAGTATTCGGGATTGAACTCAGGGACACTCAACCACTGAGTCACATCTCCAGTACTATTTTGTATTTTATTTATAGACAGGGTCTCACTGAGTTGCTTAGTGCCTCATTTTTGCTGAAGCTGGCTTTGAACTCGAGATTCTCCTGCCTCAGCTTTTAGAGCCACTGAGATTACAGGCATACACACCAGGTAGAGCTAATTTTCAGCCTTATATCATCCAAGTCGATAAAAATTTTGACCCCAGTCCCTGACACACTAAACACTTTTCTGAAGTGTGCACATGGCCGCAGCCATAGCTTAGGAACTCTGTTTTCTATTCCAGTGTGTATTTTCACATTTCCTGTTGTCCAGTACAATCCCAACGACTTCCTCTAGGACAGTCCGTGATGCTGTCATCTGAACTCAGCAGACTTGAGTTCACTGAAGACAGGAAGCTGTTCCTTTACACTCTGAAAACATTTATGTGTAACTTTCACCAAGTTTTATGATGTTTCTGTAATACAGTTTATCCTATCCAGGGGCCTATCCTAGAGGCCTGTTCTAGGTATAGTCTGAAATTTGAATCATGAAGGATTGGGGTGGAGGTGAGGGTGAAGCAGGAAAAAGCTAAGGTGACTCAATGAAAGGTTGAATTCTGTTGAGTTACACCTACTCAAGTTCAAAATGGAAAAACTGAAAAAATTAAACATCGAAATGTCTGCAAACTGGTATTTTTTGAAGTCAGTTTGAATCATCAACTCATACTCACAAAATCCCTGTGCATCATACACTCCATTAAAATGTGAAAAAGGTGCTTGGACTGTTTCAGACTAAAGTTGAAAGTGTTCTGAATCATGCAGATGATTTCCTCTTTCACCTGAGGACGCAGCATCCTGAGAGAGAAATAAATGGTCGTGACTGGATGCACCCAGAGAAGGCACCAAGCCAGAAACTTCAATTCAAGAAAACCCAACTGCCCACCCCGCTGAAAAGGTTTCTATGGATAGTTCTGTCAGAGAGCAATTGAGCAGGAAGAAAATGCAAGGAGGGGATCCAGCAGAAGGCTGAACTGGAACATGAGTAAAAGGATGAGAAATGCTAAAAACTTTAAGAACCACTCATCCAGGTGACTTTAGGAAAAGGAGAGGTATGAAAAGACAGAGAGGGGTACAGGGTAGAAATAGGTGGCTGAAGTCTGAATGGGAAGAGAAATCAGAAGGAAAGAGATCCCAGAGAGCTGATAGAACATAAGCATGAAATACATTTACCAAATAGATTAACAGAGTTAGCATTTTACTTTTAGGCACTGTATTTATACAGCATAAACCTGCTTTCAAAGAAGATTCATGCTGCCCATAGGAATGGCTGGAGAAAAACTTTCTCATTTAAAAAGGGGACAGAAAGCTTGCGGTAAACACATGTTATGTAAATGCTGGCATGTTAATTTTTCCCTATTCACACTATTTTTTCTAATGGCAAATGAGTTTGAAGGAGATCTGGTTCCTTCCCTCCCTGCAGAGCTCTCTCAGATATAAGGGCCAATTGCAGGGACATCTCTTCATTGATTTCCCTGGAAATGCCTTTTCTGGAAGTTCAAACAAGGCTCAAGATTCCCTAATAAAGGCAAGCCATTCCTCAGCTAAGAAAATACAGCCTTCATTGTTGGGGAGGCATCTAGGGACTAATGAACAAAAATGATTTCCAGTGTCACCCTCTGTACTCCAAGGATATCCGGCCCACATCATGTACGGCTTAAAGATCTAAAATGGAAAAGTAAGTAGGTCACTGTCATTTTTAAAAGAAGAGTTGAGGACTTACCCTTCATCTTCTAAGTGTTTGTGGGTAAAGGCCAGGAGGTCGGCAGCTCTGCCTGTACCTTCACACACCACCACTGGGTCTTTGTCCTTGACAGTCTCCCACACCATGAGGATGACGTTAGGACCTCCTTCCACCACCAGCTGCACCACAGGCACACCTTGTCGTGAGCCTGTTTCAGATCACAAACTATCATCAGACTGTGACAAAACATCCCTCTCTAAGAGTCAGCCCCTTTGGTTTCTAGGCACAAGTCTTTCCACTACCACATATCCTCATTGCTTGCACCTGCCCTGTCTCTTAATTTACCCAGTTTGCTTAGATGAAGTCAAGCCATAAACATGGACTTCAAATAAAATGTAGCATAAAATATGGTGAGGGCCTCCTTAAGTTTTTGCCAGGACAAAAGTTAACTCAAGTCTTTCAGTGATTTAAAAAAAAGAAAAAAAGACATTGTCTTCAAGAAAGTTAAACTTTTCATTTTGGGAAATCCCAAACATCGAAAAGTAAACAGAACTATATGATGGATTCAAATGTATCCATCACTCCTCCATAAATATGATCAATTTTTTAAATATTTTTTTTCCTTTTCTTGCAGTACTCGGAAATGAACCCAGCGACATCCTACCATTGAGCTAGATCCCTAGTCCTATTTATTTATTGACAGGGTTTTGATAAGTTCCTGAGGCTGGCCTTGAACTTGTGATCTTCCTGCCTGAGACTCCCAAGTCACTGGGATTAAAGCATGGGACCCAGCTCAATAAATTTTTAATAGTCATTATTTGAATTATCATTATTTAAACAAGATGAATTGGGCAACCCTCAAAGATGTTTACATTTCAATATATTCTGGTTTTTAACTGTTTGAATTCTTACTGGCAGCATTAATTATTTTATTACAACAATGAAAAAAATAAGAAGCAGCCAAGTCACTCCTTTAAAAAAGACATTAAGTGAAAAAAATATATATATAGAATGAAATAAATAATATACCCAATTTGTATTTTCAAAACCTTATAATTGCCTATATATTTTACATGCATATGCCTATATCTTTAACATGTTATATAAATGACTAGAAAAATCTGGAAGGATATACATCAAACTATTAGCAGTGGAAAAGGTAGGGGAGGGTTTGGATAAATTTGTTCATCTTACATATTTCTTATTACATTTTAATATCATACACTCATGGTATATATCACTTTTTTTTGGTGTTGTCATTGAACACAAGTCTTTGCACATGTTTAGAAAACACTTTAACATTGAAATGCACTCCAGATTGATATATTAATTTTATTTATTATGCAATGGCAATACTAGAGATTGAACCCAGGGGTGCTCTACTTTTTTGTTTGTTTGTTTTGTTTTGTTTTGTTTTGTTGATATAGGATCTCACTACGTTGCCCAAGCTAGCTTCAAACTTGTAATCCGTCTGCCCCAGCCTCCTGAGTTACTGGGATTACAGGTGTGTACCACCAATACCTGACTGATATATTACTTTTAAATCAATACTTTTACTTTTTCTTTTCAAAAGAAGAAAAATTAGCAGGCAACAGCATACCTGCCAATTCCACCTCCTTATTGTTGTCTCCATATCACAAAAAGCAAACCTAGGATCTATCAACCAGTAGACATAGGGTCTTCCAATCATATCATCTTATCAAAACTAAATTAAATGTGGAAAATGTTTTATTGAAGCACAAAGGCAAGAAAGAAAACTTAGATAAATATTCATTAATCTTGTGACAGAAAAAAAATTTCTAAGAGAATCTCTTACATCTCATACAATAGAATATTACATAGCCATTAGAAATGTACTAGCATGCTTATTAACATGAAAATGCATCCATGTTTAGTGGGAAAGAAGAGACTACAAAACAAGCACAGATATCTTATCATCCCAGTTTTCATTTTAAAAATGTTGCTCTGTATGGGGAGTGATTATTGTTTTTGCTATTTTCATATGAGTTCTCCTTAGAATAAGGATGTTACCAATCCACTACGATGGATCCCACATTCTTTGTCCACAGTCAGGGAAGCCCTCCAGGTACATCCAAAGGATTTCTTTGCTGTTGTTTTATTTTGTCTTTTTGTAATGGGGACTTAACTCAGGGATGCTTTACCACATAGCCACATCTTCGGCCCTGTTGAGACAGGGTCTCACTAAGTTGTTTAGGGCCTTGCTAAATTACTGAAGCTGGCCTCCTGAGTCACTGAGATTACAGGCATGAGCCACTGCAGCCAGCTTGTCGTAAGTTTCAAAGTCTGAAAGTACAAACATCAACTGCTTCTGCTCGGTGCAAGCTTGCGGTTGATTGCATTCACACGAAAACAGAAAATCAGCTGGGCATAGAGGCAAACACCTGTAATCTGACCACTCAGGAGGTTGAGGTTGGAGGATCCCAAGTTCCACAGCAGCCTGGACAACTTAGTAATATCCTGTCTCAAAATGAAAAAGAACTGGAGGATATGTAGCTTAGTGGTTAAGGGTCCCTGGATTCAGTTCCCAATACTGGAGGGAAAAAATGGAAAATCAGTAGGGCACCAGAAAGACAAAGACCCTCATGAAGCATACACTACTGTGCTGCACAGAACCTGAGCAATTCAGGTAGTGAGTGCAGGTCAACAGAAACCACGGGATACTTCAAATAACTAGCATTTTAGAGACTTAACAGATCTTTCCCAGCATGGTTCTTCTTCAGGGCCATTCTCCAACCTTTCCTCTTTCCCTGTGCTCCGTTGGTCTTCTTTTCCCCTAGCCACCTCTGTCTCACAGAGGACCACACACCCAAACCTCCCCTTTTCCTGACCTAAATGAGACTCAAGACCTTCATTCACTCTAAGCCATAAGTGACTGGTAGCGATTTCCATGGCCCCTCCCCTCCCCACCTGACGCCACAACCACAAGATGACCACTGTACCAAGGGAAGACAAGGAAAGAAACAAACATTTATTGAGGTGATACTATGCACCCAACAGTATTCTAAGCACATCCAACATACCTTTTCTCAATTAATTCTTGCAACAACAGTTAGAGGTAAAAGGGTCCTTCCAATTGATAATAAAAAAGCAGCTTCACCACATGAACTCCATCCCCCAAGGTCACAGGCAGTGGAATACAGCTGTGACTTTTCTAACCTCACTACTTCCTACTGTCTCAGGGTGTCAAGGCAGAAAACTAAAAGGACTTCCAGTATTTTCAGCCAACACTCAAAGGTTGAACAGAATTAAAGCCTCCTGGAGAGCCTTCTCACTCCTTGGCCTGTCCCAGAAGGTAGAAATATTGTGTGGAAGATTTAATTCATCACAAGAAGGAAAGGCCACCTTCTGCTGCTCCTGATGGACCAAAAAAGTTTCCATCTCTCCAGCCAGCATCCAGCTCTCCTCCTCTCTATAAAGAAGCCCTCCTCACTGCCCAAAGACTCCCACTCCACAGATGCCACCAAAATGAATCATACCCAGGGTCTCATGCATGCTAGAGAAGTGTCAGCCACTGAGCTACGGCTGCCCTGCACAAGCTCTGGGTTCATTGAACACAGCAGCCCAAAATGGCCATTTGAAGCACCACTGTTAGCACAACACAAACCTGACGCCTTCCATGCCCAGCTTTCTAAAAGCCCTGGCAGGTCTGAACCACATCCATGCTTCTACTCCCCTCACGCACACACACATATGAAACATAATCTTCCTTGACCCCTGCTCCTCTCAGGTTTGTCTCCTTATTGTCTTCCCTGTGGAAACCCTCCCTCTAACTATCCAACTCTATGGACTCTTGGAGGCCTTGCTAGTGTCTCCATTGTTCCATGAAACTTCTCCTGGCTGTACTGTCCACCTAACTTGTGATCCTCTTTCCCACTGTCACCCACAATTCTGTACCATCTTACACCCTCTTTCTGGCTCTCTGGCTGCTCGGAGGCAGGAGCTGGCTTGGACTGGGCTCATCAGCAGGCCCCCAGGCAGACCTGTCAGCTGAGCCCTGACAGAACTCACGACTGTGTATCTTCTGCAGAGAGAGGTGCTTCTCCAGGTTCCTCCTGAGTTTCATTTCATTTCCATACTTGCCCACAGTCCCATCATCGGACAGGATGAAGTGCGCGTGCATGCAGTTGAGTGTGGTGAGCTTGCTGAGGGGGTTACCCAGAGTCTGGTACATGCACACCACCTGAAGGACAGCAAGGACAAGAGAGGGTCAGAGCTCAACTTCCCC